GGGGCGGGAGCGGGTCTTGAAAATCAGACCCGTGCAGGACTCTGGCGCACACACGGAGCCGTTGGACCCCCCAGAGCGTTGTGTATGCCGTTCTATCCACCTTGGGACCCGTTATCGTTTCCGCAGTTGTTTACTGTCATATTCGGTTGTCCTCGTGTGGCCGAACGGTCTATATGACACTAAACAGTAATGCAAACGACCGTTTTCGTCCTCGTGGGGCCGGGGCCTGAGTTTCAATCGTGCAACATTAGGAGCACTAATGAATTGTTTTGTGGCTTGACTTTGTAGCACAGCCTTTGTATATTTATGATTTTAAAAGTTAAAGATACTATTGAAACCACTTTTAAAGGAATATGTTCTAATTCCAGTAGGACGACTACCATGTTTACCTGTGGATAGTCATTATTCAGAGACATGATAGACCTGAGGCGTGACTTCCAGTTTGCTTTTTGAAAATTGACCTGATGCCTGTTCTGGCAGAAGACAGATTTGACGTTGGGCTGGCCTTTAATGACGTGGTCTTCCTCAAAAGACCGATACCAGCACATTAGTTGGTTTAGCTTACAGGCCTGCAACTAATCATCACATTTCTGCCAATAACTTTCCCCATTAATGGTATTCTCTTTAAAATAACAGAAAACAAGGTGACCTCTTCGAATGACTTATTGTGTTTCCAAGCCAACAGCCAGATATTTAACAAACTGTCATATTAGCTAAGAAGCCTGCAGATTTCCTACAAATAAAACTGGAACCAGATTCGTGCCTTTTTTTTCTTTTCTTTAAAAATGTGTTCTGTTTGTTATCAAAGTTGTTGCATAATAATAACAACATAGTGGATTAACTATTAGATCAATCTACAAATCCTTTTAGCTCCAATTGATCACATTGTTTGATGCCAGTGTGCCTTGAACCAGATGTGTAGTACCTCAGTTGTATAGCTGCAGCCCCCTGTGATGTGACTTAATGCAAAGAGAAACAGCGGTGAGGAATCGAGGTTAAAGCAAGAAAACACTCCTGACAGCACCCTAAGCTCATTGTACCGTGCAGGTTGCCCTAGTTTTTTGTCCATGCTTATTATAACCATAGCCATATAACAGTGGTTCAAATGTACCTCTTGTCATTCAAATCTATACTAATAATCAAATATGTATCAGAAAGGTGATGCAGTTCAACAAATGTGCTCTATTTCTTTTAATTGGTGAACCCAAACCTTATTTATATCTTCCATTATAAATAGTGGAAAGCTCCTTGAAGCCAGTACATTTTGATACCGATTCTCGAAGTAAATTGGTGGAAAAAATGAAATTGCTTCTAGTTCTCTGAGAAGCGCTGTGTCTCTTTGGCTGCTGCTCACAGCGCTGACCCCGTATCCTCCAGTCTTCCTGACGGGTAATAGAATTACCAAGCCAGATGTTATCTCGCTCCGTAATACGTCAGGCAGGGCCAGAGGAATGATAGGTCGACCAGCCAGCCTCGTTACATTGTTGGGAAAAAGAAGGACGAGGGGGAAGGAAGAACTCAGTTGGCAAGCTTTCTGAGATGTGTGTGTGTGTGTGTGCGAGTCTGATGACATTAGGAAGATAGAGAGGCGGGTTGTGATCAGATTTGTGTTGTCTCTTTAGAATTGCATTTTCTTCCACTAAAGGTGTGGCTGAACACACACACACACACACACACACACACACACACACACACACACACACACACACACACACACACACACACAACTCTCAGCATCCTACATTATTGAACCCAAAGGTGCTTGGGTATATTTCCTACAGGAACAAAGTAATCATAAAACTTGGAGCCCACAGAGGAAGAGGGAAGGGAGGCAGCGAGGAAGTGGGAGAGTGTGTGTGAGTGTGTGTGAGTGTGTGTTTTTGGCAGCGGTTCACAAGTCTTTTGTTGCCTGACATTCTCAGGTACCATGGTTACAGGTTGGCGGGGCACTCTCTTGTTTCATCTGCCTCATTATGAGTGTGTTAGATCAAGAAGACACCAGCGTCATTTAGGAAATCTAACGCAGACACTGAGTCAGCGAACAAGGGGGCACTGAAGGGTCAGTCACATAATAACACTACATGTCAAAGTGACTTACATACACTCTGATCCCCCCCATATACATTAGTACATGGAGATATGTGCATATCATTCGAGCATTAGAATTACACACACTATGCCATAAAACTGATAAAATACATAACCCATTTATTTGTTCATATGATTAGCTATTGCTAATTTGTCAGACAAATAACTAATGTATTTAATCTGAGTAATAACATTTGACTTTTTAATGAAATCATACCTGTGCTAAGCTCGCATGTCCTGCTGGCTTTAGCTTAAAAGCATACACTTCTCATCTTACTGTTTTTTGAAAAAATATAATCCTTTTAACCAAAAAGCAAACTCATTCTCTTTCTTTCATAACTGTGCCATGTGTATGCAGACAGTTTGTTTTGTTCTTATTGAGGGATCATTATCAACCTTCTAGTTAGTTTTTAAATAAGTGGTTTTGAAAAGAAATGGTAATTGAAGGTTTGTGTTCACTGTGCTTAACTAAGGGTTCAGGGCAAGGTTCAGAAAAAACATAAATACTTATTGAAAGAGATCATTCCCTCTGCCTAGATAATTATTCACACTTACAAAAACATAACACGCATCACATCTTCAGCTGGGTCACACATAATTTAAACTTTTAGACATCCGAAGCTTGGAAGAATAATGTTGTTTTGGTGAGTCTTTTAAATGAAGATGAACTGCCAATATCAAAGCAACCTTTGTTGACATTAGACATTTGTGTTTGATGTGATCATTTCCAAATTCATAAATGTTCTCCAGCAGGGATGCCACTTCTAATAATAATAAATGATATTTATATAGCGCCTTTCAAGGGACCCAAGGCCGCTGTGCATGGTGGACAAACAAAACAAACAGACAATCAAAGCGCAAACAAAAAATAAAGGAAGCCGGGGGACCAAGAAAGGGCTAGGGCCCGAAGGCCAGAGTGAACAGGTGTGTGTTTAATGATGATTTGAAGATGCCCAGTGAGGCAGCATTACGGATCTCGGCAGGTAGTGCATTCCAGAGGGCGGGGGCCGCAACACTGAACGCCCTGTCACCAACCGTTCGTAGGCGAGAGCGGGGGATGGAGAGCAGGCCCGTGTCTGAGGACCGCAGACTCCGAGAAGGGGTGTAGGGATGGAGGAGGTCCGATAAGTACTGGGGGGCGAGGGTATGGAGGGACTTGTACGTGAGGAGGAGTGTTTTGTACTGAATCCGGGACTTGACCGGCAGCCAGTGTAGGTGGATGAGGGTGGGGGTGATATGTTGCCATGGCTTGGTGCGGGTGAGAAGCCTGGCGGCAGAGTTCTGGACGTATTGGAGACTGTCCAGGGTTTTGCTGGGAACCCCAGACAGGACTCCATTGCAGTAGTCCAGACGGGATCTGATGAAGGCGTGTATAAGTGTTTCTGAGTCAGAGAGTGAAGGCCGGAGTCTGGCAATGTTTTTGAGATGGTAGAAGGCGGATTTGGTGACAGATTTGATGTGTGCCTGGAAAGAGAAGGTGGTGTCCAGGATGACTCCCAGGTCACTTCTGTACGAAGGATAAAGTTTAATCTATTAGTAAGTTTGCTTTGTGTGGACACACCCAATGTAGAATTGTTTCCATGTGGGGGACTGATCAAAAGTGTAAACATCAAAACCACTGCCTTATGTAAATATGTGGTCCTCATTTGGTATGGTGTGGTGTTTAGCTGTATCTTATGGTGTGGTGAGAGTCATATATCAGAGCCACAATGGAACGAAGCGGTCAGTCTTTGTTGTGGTTTTATCAAAGCTAACTCCGGCTCTGAGTCTGGACGCCTATGAGAAGTGCCAAAAAATGCCGACCTTGAATGGCCACTTAAACGTAATCAATGTACATATTTCCCCCATGTTCCCAAAAAGTATCAACATGATCATGGTGTGATAGGAAGAAATATATATTTTTTTTTTAACAAATGTGTTTTGTAAAAGTTTCTAGAATACGATTTGTAGGTCAGGATATTTCTTGAGCTCCACAATACTTGATTCAAAATGTTATTTCAACACGTATTTAGCCTTTAACAATTTCAAGGTTTCAAGGTTGCAAGGCTTTTTCATGTGCACGATGAACATCTTAGGTCCCAGGCTCCTCCAACAGTGCAACACAATAACACAGATACAATAGTACAAGTAAATAAAATACAATAAAATATAATAGAAACAGAATATGACAGTGCAGAGTAGTCTATATACAGTAATTGGAATATTGATATATATATGTGAGTTGCAAACAGATGAATGTTATGTATGTTCTTTCAAAAGTTCAGGTGTTTAACAGTCTTATGGCCTGTGGGATGAAACTGTTTGCTTTTTTTTTGTGCTTCCTGCGATTTGAATATAGCACTAGATTTCAATACAATTTGAATTGTGTAGCACCAGGGTTAACATCAGTTTGATGTAAAGGGTCTTTAAAGCCTAAGTGTGGGGCCTGTGTTGTTGGGAGAGGTTTTGTGTGAGCAGCGTTAATCACAGTTGGTGGTGTGTCCTCACTAGACAACGAGGTGTATATCATTGAGGCCTCTGCCCATCCACTCATTCTCTCCCACGCCCCTTTCTCCCTAGTCTTAGTATAATATCTAGTTTGTCTCAGACACATTCATCTGCCCCCACCCCCCCCACCCCCCACCCAGAGTGCCTTCTTACAGATTAACCGTGGATGGAGTTCGGAGGCTGCATCACTCAATGATCGCTCAGCTTTTAACTCGGGCCGGAACTGTACGTTAACTTTGAGACCCGTATGGAAGTGTTCTTCTGAGCGACGGAGAGTGAGAGAAGTAAAGTGATTTGTTGCTGATGATCCAGTGCTCAGGAGAGGCTGTGGTGACTGTGGTTTGTCCAGGAGATGCATAAAGGAGCCTTGGCATGTTCCTGTACAAAACCCTTAAACACAGAGATGACGATGAGGACTTCCAGGTACACGGTGTTGCTGGTCAAGCGTCGGGATGACCTGTTTGTTTAAATGTTTCTGTATAACCGCGGTTTGTTGTAGGTGGCTTACAACGTTAAGAACTATAGATGGGACTTTTGACACGAGAGACACGTGACTTTAGGAAGAAATACAATGATTGAAATTTAGAAACTTTTATGGGGTGGCACTATTCCTTTACTCTTGATTTTTCTGTCTCTGAATTGTCTATATTTACGATTTCCCTACGTGGGAATGTTGACTTCTGAGGATCATTTGCCCAAGCAGAAATTGACTTGCAGGGACGCAACGTTTCCATTCCTGCTGGTTCTAACACTATTGTTTAAGTTTCGGGAACAGTTGAACGGCTCCGGTGTGAAGCAGGTGACGGTGTTTGCATGTTTCCCTCTTTTTTGCTGGGAGGGATTATTGGTGCTAATCGCTCTTGAGCTGTACCGGGGGAACAATAAGGCATGAGGCATTTAATTGAAAATTCCTGGAACATAAATCCCTGTTTTCAAGGAATAGTGACACAGAATTAGTTTATTTTCTTATGACCATGGCAGCCACCTGTAGCTCTTATTATGATAGGATTGTTATGTTTTAATTAAAAACATTTCTAATCCCTTTCATTTTAACTGACTGAATGAGGGGTTAAAAGCCCCCAAATGTCATTATTTTCAAAGCAAATAGTGCTGTGACTGTGTACCATTTTGTTTATCTATCCCCATGTTCTTTTTACTTGTGTTCCTCGTCTCTGAGAAACTACGTAGCCCATAATGTCTGCACGGTTTGTACAAGCACTCAATTGCTAGACTGATTGTTTTCAACCTCCACGGGGGACGATTTTCTTAGCAGCTGGAAACCTTTTAATGCAAACAATAAACACAAATGAACAACATCAGCTGCTGTCTTTTTGCTCACAACTGTTCCTCTTTTTTCCACAGTCCCAGAAACCCTGGATAGAAAGCACTTTCACCAAGCGGGAATGTGTGTACATACTTCCAGTGTCAAAGGACCCCCACAGGTATGTGTTCCGACGTTCAGCTGTAGCCATGGAAACGGTGTAATTGTATGGTATGTGTTAAAGTAGGCCCGAACCCTAACCACCACTCTCCAAAGAGTAAATAAGTCTGTTTCCACATCATTTTAATCTTTATGTCTGTCCCTATTATTACAGCGTTTAGTGAGGGGGAAGACCAGGAGGAAGTGTATCATATCTTCTTAGGGGTGTTTTTCTCTTTTATTCTGCTTTAACCACCGTGTCCTTTTTTTCAACCTTTAAACGGTCTGCCTTGTTTCTGCCCTTGTTTATTTTAGGAAGTCTTCTAACGGGCATGCCCTGATTTGTTCCTTGTTTTGATGTATTTTAGGAAGCCTGTTGTAATACTAGGAACTACAGTAGTTTTTACGATGTGTTTTGCCATTTGCACAAGGCCTTCTTCAACTGAACTGAATAGGAAGTTTGGATTTAATAATTTGAACAATGTATTGTAGTCAATGACATATACTATTTTGTGTCCTTTTTTAAATTCAAACCATTATTAACTTTAAACAATAACAACTATTATTTACTGTGTGTTTGGGTGCGTACTGTAAGGCAAGATTTGATGCTGACCTGCTGGAATCTTACAAAGCCGTGTTAAAACTGTATAGAACCTCCTATTGGCTTGGCATGCAGGCCACTTGTATAATATGTGTACATGAGAGGCTCGTGAAAAACCATTAAAGGTCCAGCAGCCGGTATAAATGTCAAGAATAAAATAGACATTTTGTTTGTTATTTAGAGTGAAGTTGTTTCCCACAGTGTATTTAGTATCTACTGGTTAACCACCTTCTTTTTGTGTAAGCCATTTCTGTTTTTCTGTTACTGTTTCAAGAGTTTGCATTCCTTCCTTTTTTCCTGTCAACTCACAATGATACTAAGTTACCTTTACCCGGTTGTTTTCTTTTACATCAATTATTTGCCACTCGAGTTTCTCAGTTAACTACAATACGTGCTGCTGCTCGAAGAATATTCGGAGGTGTTAGTGAACATGTGTCCTTTTAACATTGGGCCTGCTTATGATTCATCAAAGTGAGAGTCTACTTGGCAGAACGCTCTCTTGGTAAAAGGCCATTTCACTGGGCTTCATGCCCGGCTAACAGATAACTTTCTTTAATGTCCTTAACATTTTTCTACCGAGAGCAATTCCTTCTCACTAGGAGAAATCGGACTGTCTTTGTGTCATTGCAAATGCAGCCCACAGTTCAGTTGTTAGTGTGAATTTACATTTCTTGTGAAATTCCTTCTAGATGCCTTCCAGGATGCCAGATTTGCCAACAGCTAGTCCGGTAAGTATTTGTTTTGCCTTTGTTCGACTCGCCCTTTGTTACATGACATGATTAGCCTGGGAGGATCCATGCTAACCAGTTACTTTACACCAGAAAAGGCCTGCAGGGAAATTAATTTGCAGTTTAATTCCAGGGAACAGAAAACCAGTGACGTCAGGCTTTGTGTGTCAGGATGCACGATCTCTCCTAAAGTCGTTAAAGGAGGGGTGAAAACAAAAAGCTTTTTTATAATAATAAAACATAGATGAACCCCATTTGAAGTCTTTGAACGTTTGTCAAACTCATAAAATTGGTATTAGGATGTTTAGGATGTTAATGCTGAATCGCCAAGTCAACATCCTCACATGTAACTTATGCAGTTTACATTACAGTGATAATTGGTAAAACTCCAATTAATTGATAGAGGTTGGCAAACCAGGGTTCTTATTACAAACCAGCATCATATCTGAAGTAACTACAGTCGGTAGCAGATTTGACCAGATATAGCTAGTTATCTAGTTAGCTTATTAGCTAACTTTAGCTCCATGAGTTGATTTAAAGGTTCCCTATGATACTGTTTTTCATCAATATATTATAGGTCTCAGATACATATACTAAACATGTCTCTGAAGTGTTTGGCTCCAAACACCAAACAGATAATTGCAGCATTACCCATAATCCCCTCTGTTTCAGCCCTGTTTCCAAAGTGCTGATTCTCTGTCTGTTACTTTAGATGAAAATAAGGAGCCCCTCCCCACGCCCCTCTGAAAGATATTTGGTTAAAAAGAACACAATGGTGCTCTAGGAGGAGATTCAGGTGATTAGGTGGGGGGGGGGGTGTGATTGGCTAATGGTTACACAAGCCAACAAATCGTTGATGGCTGCATACATTATAATAAAAATAGGTAAAAGTCTGATACTTCTTTCTTTATTTTAGACATCTGTGTAAATGTGATTTATATGCATGCAAAATGTCTGATAAATTAAGAATAACATAAATGTGCTATTGTTAATATTCCGTTTGTATCTGCTGTGTCCCGCAGCATTACGGCTACTATGTATTTAATTATCTAAGTATATCATATTGTTTAAACGTTGTTGTGTTGCCCCTGCAGATGCTGCTGTGGGCGGCTGGTGCGGCAGCATGTTGGCTTCACGGCCAGCTTGGCCGCGAAGTACTCGGACGTGAAGTTGGGTGAGAACCCCAACCTGCCCGAGCAGGAGTGGTCGGTGGAGAAACACACAGAGGCCAGCCCCACTGACGCCTATGGTGTCATCAACTTCCAGGGAGGGTCTCACTCATACAGAGCCAAGGTAGGAGGGCAGTCTTTTACCCGCTGGGGGCCACGTTCATGTCAAAAGTAATCTTCTGAGTGATAACTGATATGGATGTTGGAAAAAATGTCTCTGACTCATAATCTACAATTAATTTCATACATTAACACTGGTTACTACTGTAATAGGTAGGTGTTTTTCCTAAATTACTTTTTTTTAATATCACGAAATGACGTGTTATTAGTAAGTCATTGTTGACAAACAAACTCAATATGAAAGAATCAGGTGCAAAGTCTATCCCCAGTCTTGATAACTGCTTATTCTTATCATTCAAATCTATTGCTGACATTTTGAGTCCCATCAATCAACTAGTCATCCTGCTACCACACATCTGTTGGTTTTAGCTTCTCAGGTGTGACGTTATGCTGCTATTTTCCACATTATGTAAGCATGTTTATCTTGTGTCTGTTCATTCGTCTGCAGTATGTGCGTGTGTCCCACGACACGCGGCCGGAGAGCATCCTGCGGCTGATGCTGAAGGATTGGCATATGGAGCTTCCCAAGATCCTCATCTCTGTCCATGGAGGGGTTCAGAACTTCGAGCTGCACCCACGCATCAAGCAGGTGGTGGGCAAGGGCCTCATCAAAGCTGCCGTCACCACCGGGGCCTGGATCCTCACCGGAGGGGTCAACACAGGTGGGCAACAGGAGAGACGTTATGTTAGTCTTAACGGAAAAATGTGTGGGTAAATGTTAGGGGCAGCAATGTGTGAGCAAATGTGTGAATGTTAAACTGCCTTTTTAAGCGGATATCATTTGGGTGAATAAATACGTTAGCCAATGACTTTCTTTGAATAAGACAAGATGCTGATGAGTTGGCAACAATGTCAATTACAAATATTTTTGACAAAATCAACATGCAATACACACACAAGGACACACACAAGGACACACAGTTACATTCTGTTTGTCCTTGTCTAAGTCCTGACAATAATGCACAATGTTTGTGAATCGTTATTATTGAAAAGCTAAGGCAGCTAAATCTCTTATATCCACCCCTGCTCACACATTCCCTTAATGCTCACCCACTCACACTTACATTGTGCTCTAACCTGACAAGCACACTGCCAGCATCAGTGTGTGTTGCGCTGATGAAGCAGAAGTTGTAATGCCGGGCTCTAAGCGTGTCATTTGGCTGTGTGTCGCGGCCGAGGTGTGTCTTCAGCCACAGTTAAGATGCTGTGGTCTGATCATAGTGTTTAAATCATTACTCACAGGGTCAATTACCCACACCAGTGATTACTTTTAATGCCTCTGGCTGCCTGACCAGTTGGGATGGTCTCCAGCATCACAAATTACTGCTGAATCCATGAGATCCATCAGCACAGGACTGTGGTTCGCACACAACCCCAGGACTAATGTGTTGTTGACTTGCCCCATATGCGGCGTTTGGCCACAGAACATCTTTCTTACATGCGTGGTTAACGACAATCACAATATTTAGCGCACTTTCTAATGCTCATAGATTCATGCCATTAAGTGTAGGATGGCAAAGGTTAAGAAGCAATACAAATGTTGTCCAGGAAAGACAGAAAGGTTTATTGATTGTTTAATGTTTCCTTCATAAAGGTGTGGCAAAGCATGTGGGAGACGCTCTCAAAGAACACTGCTCAAGATCATCAAAGAAAATTTGCACTATTGGGATTGCACCCTGGGGAGCCCTTGAAAACCGGAATGATCTCATTGGCCGAGACGTAAGATGCAACTCTCACAATCTCATTTGTTCTAGAAAAGATGTTGATAGTTTCACTGCTGGATAACATCTCTATTTAACATCTGGTCAGCAATTATTTAGTCAATGTTTGTTTATTAATATGTCATCATGTCCCCCCTGCAGATCATCGCTCCGTATCAGACACTGCTGAACCCTCTCAGCAAACTAAACGTTCTCAACAATCTGCATTCCCATTTCCTCCTGGTGGATGATGGGACAGTGGGCCGGTACGGCGCCGAGGTCCAACTGCGGCGAGACTTGGAGAAGCACATCAACCTCCAAAGAATACACGCACGTAAGAAAAAGCTTTTAATGCAACGGTGTCCCTCACTTGGATTTTTGAGAAACAAAAGATTATACTGGATCACTTTTCATCCGCAGAAGCAGTCTGGGGCTCTTCTGAGATAATTCAGTGACACTGTTTTTGTGTCTAGACGACCAAAACCATCGCCTTACTCAGCTCATCCTCGTCAAAATACCACAATTAGCCAATTAAATGACTAAAATCCATCGTTTCTTTTAAAGAAATGCCATTTTAATATTTTTTGTCTTTTTTTTTATTGTGCTGTTTGTAGCTTCAAAGTTATTCAGATTCTACTCCACTCCAAGCTCATAGGGTCCCCCTTCTTCAAAAATACTTTACATTATATCTTACGGCCCCGTCCACACACAGGCATGAAAAAAAAATCTTGAAAAATCTGGATGCTGGGCGTGTCTGAAGCTTGAAGATTTCACGCGACCAACAACCAATCAGGAATCTCCCAGGAATCTCCCGCCCGCCCCCGGAATACAAAGCAAAAAAAAGCCCGCTTCAATATATATTTATACTGGATATAAACTCCCCAAACAGGTGAAACCCTACCAGTTTCACCTACTGTCTCTGCCACCTCCCTCCATGCCTGGTTCCTCCGGTTTAGGTCCCGGTAGGTGAACAGAGAGCAGTCGTAAAGGACCGGGACATTTCCTACAGCGATGATTAATTTATCCTCCATTTTATGACATATGGAAAAGACCTGCGGTATCTGAATACACGCGGTTTGATTGGCTAGCGCTTGTACTGGCGGGATTTGCATAAACGGGATTTGATTGGCTGATGCCAGCTTCGAAAGCATCGGGAGCATCAAAAGTTGAACATTGC